TGATTAAAAGAGGTGGAAAATAGTTGATAACCCTATTATTTTTTAGACTTAAACAAACAGAGCTTCTGAAAATAACTTATTTAATATCTGATGTAGCACAAAAAATGACTCGGTGAACCAACTGAGCGGTTAACTCAGATAGGGCCGGTCTAAGGAAGCTTAAAGCCCATTTATGCAATACATGGTATGGGTTAAAAATATCCATGAAGATCTAGGAATAATCCTAAAAGATATTTAAGAAAGTTTGTATATATCCACACAGTGATTTGGGAGAATGAGACTCCTTCGTTATTGAGAAAACATTGTTTTTTGGAGAAGGAGCCATTAAAATAAGGATTTCAGGTTAATTTTCTATCTCTAAGCTCTGAAGATTACTTAAGATACACGATCAAAATATTTGTTTTCTGACTTGAGCGTGGCAGTGTCTACGCCGGGGCCCCGCCCCGGTGCTTTGCAGGTCGACCCGGTTCTTGAAGACGAAGGCTATTGAGACGTTCGAACTCTCACGCAATCGAGATGAGGCGGTTCAACCGACAATCTCTTTGAGTCGATTATTTTGACTCATCAATATCTTTATTCCGTGCATCGCACGGGATACCTTCTAGTATTATTTAAAATCACTGTCATTATTATTGATGTAATGACACCAAAAATTTTGGAAAAAAATAAATACTTCTCATTTATATAAAAAATCTTCAATTGTGACTTATCACAAAAAATTCATGTTGGCTAAATTAAATTAGCTTTAATACGAACACAATATATATTTTTTTTTTATAACATTATTCTTAGTATCGTTTTTTCATATCTTAATTATAATAAAAATATTTTAAATATCGTTGTTTGCTACACGGTGTAGTTAAAAATAACATCATACAGAAAAAATATATACGAATCTCATGGAATATTTTGCAACTCTGCGAGCCACATTTCTGCTTTGAGCCGCTCGTGTGCTGTCAAAAACTCCTCAATAAACCATTTTCTCAGATCTCAAGGACCATTTATTAAAATAAAAGACACTACTTTTTGCAGGCCCCGTTTCACGACTTTTTTTTTTTCTTTATTTTATTTTGTCGAGTTGTCTTCTTTTTGTCCGTGTTTATTTATACCGAGGATTTGACACACATTTGCTTCCACCACAAACAATATTCCATTGTCAATGTACAGAGAACTTGGTAGAATTCTGAAACATTTACTCGTTTTGTATATGGTTGTTTGCTATTAGGTTATGCAGCGGCCATAATCAAAGGGGTAGTCGGTGATATTGTTGGGATTTCATGTTTGCTTTGCAAGTAATTCAAGGTACAATACACTACATTGGTTTTCGTATTATTCTATTACCCTCCCACTGCTGCTGGTTTTGCCATTTATCTTCATTTCGAAGCTTCTTCTACATGGAAACATGTTCCACAAAACTGTCTAGCATATGTTTTAAAGTCATAAATAGTTGAGTTTTATTTGAGACAGTGTAGAGCACTACTGTGGGATACTCAAACCGTTAATTTTGGGATTCGAATCTTCTTGTATTTACTGGGAGAAAATGCAGAGTGTGATTTTGGTGATTTAATGTGGAATTGTGGAGCCAAGTCAATTTTTGAGAAATGTCGAGTGCGTGTGAGAGTGAAGAGGTTTTCTATGATAGTGTGGATCAATTAGTGCCTGAGGATTTGGTGTGTGGAAATTCAGAGTATGACATGTGGTTGAGTGAGCCAGAGTGCGTGATAAAAAGAAGGAAGAATTTTCTATCAACAATGGGGTTTGTAGAGAGTTCGGCTTTCGCCGAGGTTGAGGGAAATTTTAAATCTCGTGAAACTATTTCCAGTCATTGTAGCTTGTCGACTGCCACTGACGATGCCTTGCTGTTCGAAAGGCAGAAGTCGAATAGCGAGGCAAATTGTTCGGGTGCTAATTCTGAGCAGGATTGGCTGGACCACATAATAATTGGAAATCTGGTTCCTATTGACAAATGTGAAGTGAAGAAAGATGAGAATTGTGTGGGAAAGAGACCCATCACTAGTGAAAGAAAGACGAAAAAGTTGAGCTGGTTGAGATACTTGGAGCAGAAAATGAAGAAAAATGCAAACTTATTTAAGGAATCAAAATTACAAGGTGAGGCAGAGAAATTCTGTCGGGTGAATGTAGAACATAACTGGAAAAAGTATATAGAGTGTACAGCTGTGTATTCTGGTCAAGAACTCAAAGCCCACGATGATTTGATTCGGGCCATGAAATTCAGCCCTGATGGGCAGTATCTGGCTAGTGGCAGTGTGGATGGTGTGGTTTGCATATGGCGAGTTGACTCAGTGGAAGCTTCTTCCTGGCCCGGTTACTGCAGTTATGGTGAAATGGGATTGGTTAGTAAGAAAACAAAGGAAGTTCAAGCACCAGTTGTCTTTCCTGAAAAGATCTTCCACATTGAAGAAAGCCCATTGCATAAGTTTCAAGCACACAATGGTGATGTTTTAGATCTGGCTTGGTCCTCATCTAATGTGAGTCGATT